GCCAATGGTGTTTGCGAGAAAAAGATGGGCAGGCAAGGGAATTGAACCCAGGTCCTCCTGATCACTATGTAGAGAACTGACCCACAAGACCACAATGGATTGACTGGATGTGTTTGCATTTGATAAGACTATATAGTGTGTATATATATAGAAATACAACATATTTCTATTATTGAGTTACAATTGTCCAAAAAATTGCCAATTTTGTGTTTTTACTTGTGTAAACTATATGCATGCCATAACCCGTTAGTGTACATCTTGCCAATTGGGTGTTTGCCATTTGCGTTGCCCATACCTGACCCGACCCTAACCCTAATGCCAAGACACGTTCCTGTTAATAATTCCGTTGCCCATACCTGACCCGACCCTAACCCTAATGCCAAGACACGTTCCTGTTTATAATTGCTCAATAATGATACTCTGTTGTGCACTGTCTGCGGGTAAGTTGCATTGATGTAGAAAAGTCGCATTTAAATTACTTCCACAAATTACAAATTGTTAAATTGAGAGAATAATGTGTGTACAAATATTTTAGACTTATTTTGGTGTAGACAACTCTCATTTAATAATTTTACACCATTACAAGTTGTTAAATTGAGAGAATGAATGTATGGACAAGTATTTGAAACTTATTTTGGTGTAGACATCTCTCATTTGATTAATTCTAACAATTACAAGTTCTTAAATTGACAGAATGAATATATGGACAAATATTGACCATTATATTTGTGAGTAAATACCTGTTGTTTAATTAATTTCCACCTCTACAAGGTTGAGAGAATAAATGTGTCGACAAATATTTGATACTTATTTAGGTGTAAGAACTCGTGTTTGACCAACTTCCGCCATTGCAAGTTGTTAAAATAATGAAATAAATATACTGGTATCATTGGATATTTGATTTAATTGTGAAACTTTCTAACAAAATGTTAACTGCTGGCTTCGAACCCTCAATCAACAATTCCGCAGACACAGTATAAATTCAACAACACCACAGAAGATATTCGTCTGTTGCCTGAATTTAACAAAACTTACCTTGACTTGGGTCTTGTTTATCTCTTGTCACAATCTGGAAATTGTTGAACAAATTGCGCGTCGTCCAGTTTAAGACGTTAGTTATTTTATTATTTATTCATTCAGTTTTGTATGGTGGAGTTTTGTGAGGTTTATTATTTTTTTGCGACGTTCTTTGTTTACTTGTTTACGGTTTGAGAGATTTCAGTTTATTTGATTTACGTTTTTACGGTAGCTCTGAGCGGGACTCGACCCCACTGTCTTTTCAAGCCAATTTTGTTTTATTTTGATGGCACGCTTGTGTACCACGCCACGACGTTGGTCGTTAAGTGGTGTTCATTTTTCTAACTACTCCAGTGTTCCGATGAGTTGAACGGAAAAGCCAAAACAATTGCTGGTTTCTGATTGCTTCGGTTCTGGTGAGTGTGTATCTAGTGTGATTCGAACCCATGTCGTTTGTATTGGGCGTTTTTTATTTCCCATGTTGGCTACGCCGTAATATGCAACCAGTTCCCCGTTTTATTGTGATTTTGAGTGTTTAATGATGTCTTCCTCACCCGTAACGCCATGACCCAGTTTCAACCACACGGCCATTTTGCAACACAGTTCGTGACCCTCGGCGTCACCCGACTGACTGTATGAGCGTTCTGTTCAACTGTTAAGCTAGGATTTATTACCGTTATTATCATTATATTGTCACGTGATTTGTTTTACCTTATGTGTAATGTCTTAAGTATCTTTATTGTAATTTGTATATACCAATTCGTATATACCGAGGAAACGACCCCGATTGAAGGTCATGTATTTTATGACGTCACCAATTCGTGTGTAGGTACTGCTTCTAGATCTGTGCCCTAAATTCTCTTATTTTGGGGGTATTTTTGTGAGTGTACATGTATGCATTAAAATTTTCAAAATTTAAAATGTAATTATTATATTGCAAATGTAAACATTAAAATTATTGAATGATTTTGGATTTGTTGGGAAAGTAGCCGAAATGATGTGACATTATCTAATTGGTGATGGGAATTGCCAAGCCAGTTTATAAAATAGTCACAGTCCCTCTATTGGACTGTGAAATAGTGAACAAAAAATTTTGTAAATATTACTGACCGCCATAGACGCCCACCGCGAAGTGTTTTGTTTTTATGATCAAATATCTTGATTTGTGGTGATTTTATTTGCAGAAAAAGATGTTGCAAGGAGAAAATGAATAAATAAATAGTCTTATTAATTTTATATAAAGCCGACTCACCTCGACTTCAAATCGACAAATACCAACAGAAACTCTCATGCCATCCCCGTAAGCTATCAGCTGAGACGACTGGTCAAAAGGACTGAACTCAACTGACGTCACTGTGTCTGGTGTATCAAACGAAAACGTAATACCACCACTTTTTGTTTTCTCAAACATCGTACATTCACAATTTAAACTGGCGAGCCGGAAATCGTATGGTACAGTCCTCAAATGAACCGCCTGAACAACATGTAGGTCAGAGTTCAATGAAATCAGGTGATGGTGCCACGAGATTTCACGTGATAATACGAGAAGTTGTATTTGGTTAAACCATTGAATATATAGGGGTGATAAAAGAAATTATATATTTGGTACATTACCGCACTACAAATAGCGTTATGACTTTCCTTCAAAATACAAAAATACCAATTGTATGGTCTGAATTCAAGTATATTTCTCAAACTTTATATTGGCGAAAGTTCAATGAAAACTATGCAAACATTCCTGCTCTACCTATTATCAAAATAGAATACTCCTCAGTCATATGACATTTCGCCATCTTATTCGTAAACTGGACTGAGATTCGGAGGTGATTGTTGCCTGTTCTTGATTTTGTACCTAATTTCTCTTCACATCAGTAGTCAGCTACACAATAAACGAAAAATGGCACTCAGTGATGCAGATGTACAAAAGCAGGTACGTGCTTTTTTGCCGTGTATCACCATAATCATAATATTAATTCATTTACAAATCAACGATATCATAGTGTCAGCTAGTCGTCTATGATTTGAGTAGTTATCATAATTTTAATACTCCAGTACTTGCGCCTTTCGTAAGTTGTCTCTCGAAATGACCATTTTTACATAATTAAAGAAAACACGTAATAATAATCTGTTTTCAGTTATTTTACTTAGTGATCAGAAACTGGATGAATCTAAAATTAGACCATTTAGCCGGCCCGTATGCTGGTATAAAGTTGAAGTCTATTCTGTCGGTATTTAAATCACGTTTCCTTCTTTCCTATTTAATATAATATGCGTTTATACCTAGATCAAGCATATGATGGCCTTCATTGATCAGGAGGCTAATGAAAAAGCTGAAGAAATCGATGCAAAGGTAAGCTACCGAAGTTTGGACGTAGTGTAAGTGATGGATGTACTGATACTATTTATAGGGCTGGCAGATGTGCCAGTGATGACCCACATCCTGTACCCACATTGTCAATACTAGTAGTATTTTTTTTTTCTGCAACACATAATATTCTTAGAAGTAGCGCAATTTTATTCATATGATGATCACGAATTATGTTTATTCAATGATGTACATATAGCGTACATGTTTTTAGGGGTGATATTTACATTGACAATTGACGGCACCAACAATGTTCCGATAAAAACGATCATCTTCACCATCACAGATCTGTCACATAGAACTATGATACACACTGACAATACCCCTCCAGCATAACGTCACAATTCTCACATACAGACCGGAACAGGAAATCAGTAAAAAACAAAAGGATTTTTTCATTAGTGTTGGGGAAAGTTGGGAGTGTGTGGGAATACAGATGTGTTAATCCAAAAATTCATTGTCTTTTCCTGTTTGTGATTGGTCCTGGCAACGTTTGGGGGATTGTGACGTAGCTCCGTCTTTGAGAATACTACCGGTATATATACATGTATCACCAAAAGCTGCCATGTACATGACGTATCACAACTGCTAGGAGTCAGATTTGAAAATAGTAGAAAAAAACATTTCTAAGACTCTGTAAATGTCAATCACTTAAATTCAGATGCTAACTCCACTAGGCTAAGACTTGTATTGTTTAGGTTCATTGACTGTATTATCAATCTCATTCGTATTTACTTTATTTTGACAACATTTTTTCATACAATTTGGGCACTTTGGAAAACGTTACTATTAATTGCTGGATACTGGGATGATAACTCAACATTTCTCAGTGCTAATTCTGCCAAAATACACACATTTGTATCTTGTGATTGTGAGTCCTTGACAACTACTTATACATGACAGACTATGATGTTAGTAGTGCATATGGATACAACTGATTGATTTACTACATTTGAATATACCGGTATCTCTGGTTTCTCCAACCGAAACTGTGTATAAACAACTAGCTTCGTAATGTAACTCCATCCCATACATGTACTGTGAAATCTGTATAGAGCACCTACATGCATGTATATTAGAATAGTTCTTAATTGTTCAAAAAAATGGTTGCAGCTTATAATACGTATAAATTATCACTATATGAGTTATTACGAGAATACCCCAGAAAGTATGCATGAATGCAGTACGGCAACACATAGCAGAGGTTGATGCATTCCCATACTGTCTGAATACACACTTTGCGGTAATCTTGTGATAAGTTTATCATTATACATAGTATTCCTGCTTGTAATAATAATATAATGAGAGATCAAAAATGGCAACAAAAAACATGTTCTGCTGTATTCAGTAACAAATTTTATTTCCGTCACACATCTGCTATGTTTGATCCAAAATGGTGTCGGATGCATTTCAAGACTTACCGGTAACACATCTTTGGTTGCCAAAACACAACAGATGAACAGTTAACTGTAATGAAAATGTATTACAGTGTTGACCATTCATGATGCGTTGTCAAAGTAAACACAAAATCAGATAGCGATGTGAACTTTGATATATATTCTATATACCCAGTTAAAATAGTCTAAATATTTATGGCATTTAAGTGTTTCTGATGTAGAAGTATTGGAGTAATAAAACCTTCGGAGTTGAAAGGGCACTCCTTTCAAAGGTCAAAATATATAAAATGGTCTTCGAATGTAGGAATATGGGAAATATTGACACCCAGGCAAACTCATTACTTAAATAATATCATACTAATAAAAAAGCAACTGATGTTCTGGTGTCTCTTGGTATATTAATACTCTGGTACAGGTCTTTAGTTGTTTATTCACAGGCTCGGACATCCAGGCATTTTCACCCCCTGGCAACCGTCACGGTCAAAACAAAGGCGAAAACTTTCAGAAAACAGTACTTTAGGATAGTTGTTGAAACTCCCCTGAACAGTGTAACAAGATTACTCCTGCATGTGCAACATATATAAATTTGGTTGTTCAGGATTACTTCAAAGTTTGGTTTGTGCTACGACCGGCGTTCCACAGAAGCTCGCACAGAACCCATAGGAATACATGGTGCAGTGGTGTGCGTCTTAGCAACGCGGAATGTCTTGTGACATAGCTCTGCCCCGAGGATATCACGCTTTCCCAGTAGCTTATAATATAACCCAAATTAAAAATTTTGTTTTCTTTCATGATTTGTTGTAGGCAGAGGAAGAGTTCAACATTGAAAAAGGACGTCTGGTTCAGCAACAACGTGTCAAAATAATGGAATTTTACGAGAAAAAAGAAAAAAATTTAGAACTCCAGAAAAAGATGTAAGCTTTTTTTGTTTTCTCCTGCAGTGTATTTTCTAAATATAAATGTATTTGTGTACTGTTTGAAGTGTAATGGTTACCACTGTGTGTAGTTTAAAATTTACATGCAAAAATAATTCTATTTACACCTGTACATGCTTGTGTGGAATTTTGTATTGAATGCACATTCTGTGACAAACTCCATTCTAAAAATAAATATCAGTGAACATATGCCAAGCAGCATAAATTACCATGCATAATCATTAATTTTGCTTATTATATATAACATAACTGCAATGTATTCTGGGAAATGTGACATTACATATCAAATAGTCTTCTAGCCCAATGAGAGCCACGGAAATGTTAATGTGCATTGCATTCTGGGTAATATGACATCACTTATCAAATACAGTTTTCTAACCCAATGAGAGCCAGGGAAATGTTCATGTGCATTGCATTCTGGGTAACATCACATCACTTATCAAATACCCCCTATCCTAATGAAAATTCATGTTATTGCATAAATTGCGAGGTGTTCACGAACTTGCATTTCTTGAAATACAAATGCAAACAATTATGGTGCTGTCTAATTAGTGAATCTGCAAACAAACTGGTTGGTCTTGTTTTTGATAGTGTCCATGCTTTATTTGCGTGTTTACATCAGAAATAACCTCTATTGACATGTGTCTGGAATTCCCATGCAATTACTCAGTGTTCTCCCCAGAAAAATGTATCAGAGTGGCGGCTAATTTGCATATAATTTACATATCATTAGCATATGTCTGGAGATAAAGAAA